ATGCATAAACTCAGAGACCCAGGTCGTCGCACGCATCTCTGCTTGCCTAGCAGACATCTCTCGGTGGATGTCTGCTCATCACCTCAAGCTCAACCTTGACAAGACTGAACTGCTCTTCCTTCCGGGAAAAGATTGTCCCACTCTTGACCTAACAATCAACATCGGCACCTCGATTGTTTCCCCGACTCAGACTGCAAGGAATCTATGTGTGACACTAGATAACAAACTGTCCTTCACTGCAAATATAGCTGCTACAACCCGCTGCTGCAGATACACTCTTTACAAAATCAGGAGGATACGTCCCCAGCTGACCCAGAAAGCGACGCAGGTTCTGGTCCAGGCTCTCGTCATCTCACGCCTAGACTACTGCAACTCCCTCCTGGCTGGTCTACCTGTATGTGCCATCCGACCTCTGCAGCTCATCCAGAATGCAGCGGCTCGTCTGGTCTTCAACCTTCCTAAATTCTCCCACACCACGCAGCTCCTCCGCTCCCTTCACTGGCTTCCGGTAACTGCTAGAATCCACTTCAAGACACTGGTACTTGCGTACCATGCTGCGAATGGATCTGGCCCTTCCTACATCCAGGACATGGTTAAACCGTACACCCCAGCACGTGCACTCCGCTCTGCATCAGCCAAACAGCTCGCTGCACCCGCACTGCGAGGGGGACCCAAGTTCCCATCAGCAAAAACACGTGGTTTTGCTATCCTGGCTCCAAAATGGTGGAATGAGCTCCCCATTGAAATCAGGACAGCAGATAGCTTGCACATCTTCGGCGTCAGACTGAAAACTCATCTCTTTAGACTCCACTTCGAGAGATAGAATTACAACAAAGCACTTATATACTAATAAAGGACTGGCTTTTATCGAAAGCCAGTTGAGTAGCACTTGAAATGTTTGGCTCTATGAAACCTGATGTACTTATATGATTCTGTTTTCTTCAAGTTTGTACTTTGTTGGTCGAACGCACTTATTGTAAGTCGCTTTGGATAAAAGCGTCAGCTAAATGCAATGTAATGTAATGTAAAATGGAAATACCCAATTAAAAGTACAAGAACCTCAAAATTGTAATAAGTATAGTATTTGAGTAAATGTACTTAGCTACTTAAAACCAATGATTTTCTGGAGATAATGATTATTCTTGTTATTAATACGTGTTACCCAGTAACGATTCACAGCCCTGACTCAACTAAAAACACAAACTCAAAGCATTGAGGTGTGTGCAGGTCTATAAACCTAGCTAATACTCGTTGACTGTGTTGCGGGACATATTGCTATTAGTGGACCGTGTCGGTCAAATATAGTGTTTTACCAATAATTAAACACTATGATAGCCCTTTTTAATCCATTAAGTAACACGTATTATCTTGGACATGGTGTGTAAAAGGCTATTTAAGATACAGAATAGCCGAATGTTGCTAGCTTGAACACAGAGCTTAGCAATGTCACCAGTAAGGGCAACGTCTGAATTATGTAAATGTAAAGCTGACATAGTATGTGGAGCAGATGATCTCAGTCTCACATTTTGAATTTGACAGGCAAAATGTGCCATGGTTGAGGTTTAACCTGTCGTTAGCATGTGTAGCTAATGTTGTTGACCGACCTGCTAACGTCTCCCCGTGGGGCGGCCTGTGTGTCAGCTTCTCGAATTTATTCAGCTGGTCTCGCGTGCGAGCTCCTTCAGCGTCCGACATCTTTCCCCCGTTATAATCCAGTCCTGGAGAACTTCACATCAAATAAAAACAACATAAAGTGCTGATAAAACATTATAAATCGTTTCACGTCTCAGTCAGTATGAAGCCATTCACAAATGTTACCCCCTGGCCGTGAGGCACCTGACCAATCAGAGGGCTTGTTATTGGGACGTGGCGTCATTAGAGGTGGGCGGGGCTACGCGTATCAGCGGTCGGTCTCCACAACAACAACAACCGGTAGTTTTCTCTCTGTCCAACAAGTGCGGTGCACGGACCTCAGACGCTGGAGAGGATTAATCTTGTGTAAAGTTTCTCACTTAGCAGAGCTGAAGGCAGTATTTAGAAGAATAAAACATTGAGTCCAAAATCCTCCAGCTAAGAAGTTATAGTGTAACGTTATGGGTTCATAGTAATCTAGTTAGCCTATTTCATTTTATGTAAACACATCTTCATGTCATTAAACTCCCCAAATCCTTAGAAATATTACCATGCACATGACCTTAAAGAACTACATTTTTAGTAGCTGTCCTGAAAAAAATAAAATCATAAAATGAAGTTTAAATAATCTCTATATCTGAGAAAACAATATTTTCAGATATCCACCCCATATCCACTGATAAACCTCTGACTACACAGTCACCTTTCACTTGAGTTGGGGTCTGTCTGTTCAAAATGACTAAACAGTGCCCTCCATAGGATATGTCTATGTATTTTTCCTATGATAGATGGGCAGGTGTTCTGCCCTGTTGGATGGAACTGGATTACCAAAAGAAAAAAGGAAACCTGTGGCATTGCAAATAAAGCATGTGCGTGCGTTATTTATGTTTTTGGCAACATTTATTTAAAAATCTGCAGATGAGGTGGAGTATACTTTGTTCACTCCATACAAAGCAGGAATAGGCACATGACGTCCAGACTGAATGTAGGCCGTGCCCATTAGGAATGCAGTTTAGTGGCATCTGTAACATCACATCCAGTTCCCTCACCAGCTTGTTAGAGGTGATTCTGAAGTTAGTAGTAGGTTATTCCCTAAAAAAATAAAAAATAATATAGATTTAATTGATGCTGCCTTTAATAAAGTCACTCATTCTCCCCTGTCAAATAAAACAGAGATTTAGACATATGGTTTCCTGCAACTAAAGGTCCTACACAATCAGAATCAGAATACCTTTATTCGTCCCACAAACTGAAAGTTTACGTTGTTACAGCAAAGTAAAGAGCCAAACATAGCTAAATATTAATTAAGAAGCATGCATAAAATATTATCGATAACAATTGAAATGACACAAATTGCAATTTTACTAATTACACATCCAGTTACAGTATTTAAAATAAATAAGTGTAGCCTACCATTTATCAAATAGTCTGACAGCAGCCAGTAATAATAATAATACTAATTATGAAGCGGCATATATATATATGTATATATATATATATATTCCATATATATTCTTGAATATAGTAATATTGCACACAGTAATATTGCATATAGTATTAGTAATATTGCACACAGTAATATTGCACAACAGGGATGTTATAGTCTTTAATAAATACTCGAAAAAATGACATTTTGACACACTTAGAAACACCTCCTTAATTGAATAATAAATAAATCTGGTCAGTGAAGAGTCAGGCAGTTCGGGGGGCTCAGGCTCGTGCTGTGGTCGGGGTCTTTCAAAGCGGAACGATTGGTTTCAGGTCTTATTTTCCCGGGGACCACAGAGCCGATCATGGCGACTCTCAGCGGCAGTCGTGGGGATCGCTTCGGCAACACTAATCAACGAAAGTCTTCTTTTGCATCTCCAGAGAAAGTCCGAGCACTTCTTAATGCAGGAGTGTCCCCGGCACAGGTCGGGTCTAACAGGTGGGTGTTTGGAACAGTCGCGCGCTCCTTTGTTTGATTTTAAGAGGTCGAAGAGCAAGTTGACATGAGCTAATTTGGCTAGCCACCTAGCTTTCTCTGCTGCTTTCGCCGCCTTCACTCAGCGGAATGTGAGGAGGCACAGGTCTACAGATAATGGAATCTTGTAGGGCAGCAATGCGAGTTCGATCACCATTTGTATTCATGATTGCAGTTGTTATTTATTCCATTTACCGGACTGATTTGTTATAGTAGTCATTGTGCTATCGCTGCCGTGCATGTTCCAGATAAAGGGGGTGGGGACACAAAGTTCTAATCTAGCATGTACTCGGACCTGGTACTAAAGTAGAAGTACCAGAGTGTAGGAATACTTTGTTACAATTAAAAGTCCTGCAATCAAGGTCCTATTCCACAATCAGAATCAGAATACCTTTATTCGTCCCACAAACTGAAAGTTTACGTTGTTACAGCAAAGTAAAGAGCCAAACATAGCTAAATATTAATTAAGAAGCATGCATAAAATATTATCGATAACAATTGAAATTACACAATGTCAATGTTACTCAAGTAAGGGTACACAAGTATAATCCAAATGTACTTAAAGTACTAAATTAAAAGTACTCATGCAGATTGGTCCATTTCAGAATAATATATATGATATGTTTTATAATGATTGATCATTAAAGTGTTCTCAAAGCTGGTAAAGGTGCAGCTAGTTAATGACTTTGTGCAGGGTAGCTCGTGAATTTACTCCAGGTGTAACTAAAGTCCGATTTAAGACTTGATTATATTTCACATCATTAATCCAAATCTGTAAAGTAATTAATTGTATTAAATATATGTAGTGGTGTAAAAGTACATGATTTATCTGTGCATTTTAGTGGGGTAGAAGTACACAGTAGCAAATAAATTAAAATACTCAAGTAAAATTACAAGTCCCTGAAACTTGAATAAATATACTTAATTTACACCACAGCCTTTAACATCTGAGGTATTGTCCACTTGCTGCCCAGCCATCAATGCCTGATTTTCGACTGAGCATTACTATAGCAGACAGTTTGTTGTAAGCACCGGGTAGAATGAAGCTGTTTTCCTCTAGTGAAATGATAAATGCATGTTACTGCTTGTTTGCTGCCTGTTTCCTGAACATTACTATCCCCAGCAATTCACTTGTATTTGTTTAATTGCACACAGTAGGCCTGCAGTAAGCATTACAGTCCAGCTGAACAAGCACGTTTATTAGAAGAAATTGGCAATCTTACAAATATTCTCATATTCAATACAATCAAAGAACAACATGTTTTTCGATTATTAAACAAGTGTCTGGAAACTGAAGTTCTGTTTTTCTCTTCGTGTGAATTTCAGTAAACAAGAAAATGGGAAAGTTCTGGAAGTAAAGAGCGATACTCAAGCACCTTGTGAGTCAACAAACAAAGAGGCCTTTTTCTCAAGAGTGGAGTCATATTCAATATCCTTTTACTCAATTTAAACCCAGTATGATGCATCCAGGCCTTTCTGCATCTCATGTGATCAGTAAAGATGGCTCAGGTTGATGTTTAGTTTGATTTTGTAAATATCACATCTATTGAAATGATATGATCCTTGTTTAGCTAAGTTAGAGTATTAATGAATGTGATGATACTTTTTGTGTGAGTGAAGGTTTCCTTAGCATGGCACTGTTTGAAATGGGCAGGCAAACCCCGCACTCTGTCCCCTCTCATATGCGCCCGATATGGCTGGATCAACGTCGGCTGCGATATGCTCAAGTGCTCCAGCTGCCAGGCGTTCCTCTGTGCAACACTACAACCAACTTTAGACTTTGAAAAATGTGAGTAAAAGTTACAGAAAACACAAGGGCAAATTTCATTTTGGCAAGGTAACCCCAAAAAAATGAAAGGTCAAGCATCTCTCTTTGTGTCTTAATAGATGGATCCCGCATTGCAGAGATTTCGAGGCAGCTCCAGTCGCAGCATGAGAAGTTTTGCCCCTGGCCTGACTTTCCCAGCCCAGGTAGGAGCCGGCCTCTTCAATGGCATACTTACAAAAATAATCAATAGCATACACGTGTCACTTCAGCTGAATTTACCCTGAGGTATCTGCACGATGGTCAAGGTTATTGTTGATGTTTTTCAGAGAGTTTCTGGCTGGTTCCAGCGTATGAACCGTCAGCACTTCTCACCGCCTTCTTAGGGCGCTTCCAGAGCGCCTGTCTGCTCGCACAGCAGCTGCCTGCCATGAAGCCGGAGCAGCTGAAGTCTATGGTGAGTTAGGAGAAGAGACTTTTGGATACTGACAAAAATGCACTCACTATAAAGAAGTACAGAAATGGCTTTCCTTAAGAACTCTTTCAGGAGATAATGGAAAGGACTGTCAAGTTAATTGTTAAAACAACTGAAAAAAATGCCATTTCAGTTGCTCCCATGTCATTAATATCCCTTGCTTCCTTTGTAGTCTTTGACAGAGGAGGTCATCAGTGTTATACTGCAGCTGATCGAGGATGAACACAAAAGAAAGAAAGATTCTCCATGTTCTGAACCCTTGGCTGTCCAGGTGGCTGCATGCATTGTTTCTCTCTGTGGCTGGTCTGCAAGGTGAGATGCTGGACTATTCAACACACCTAACACGAGGCCTGTCACGATAATTAATTGTGTTGGACGATAAATTTTTCTGTAAATTATTGCGATAAACGATAATATTGTCGGCACCGTTTTAAGACCATTTTAGACCACTGACATAATGATAATATATATAATAATATTCAACGTACATCCTTTCAAAGATCATAATTTTTTATTGAACATCACAGCATTGGCAACATGCAAATGTGAAATAATATCTCACAAACATAATTATAAATTAATATAGATAAATAAAACCAATTAATTAAACTTATCCAAATTAAATTAAATCACCACACAACAAACAATCAATAAATAAAATAGAGTCAGGGCGGGAAACAGAGCTCTCCTCCTCTTCTTATATATATAAAATATTCATATACTAACCTACATAAATAATACATATGAGCACACATCTTTTATCATCCACAAGGGCAAAAAAAAAAAACCAAAAAAACTCCCTTAAAGACAACAGTCACTGTCCAAAGACCCAGATGCCTCAGCAGGCCATAACGCAAATCTGTTTTTCTAAGTTTTCGAGCCAAGGAACACCAACCATAGTTGCAGTGTCGGTGCGGGGCTCTCCATCTCCAGGGTCCAAGCTGCCGGTTTGGCTCCCAGCTGGGAAAAAACGGAATGGAGTTGGTTGTGTTTTAGGTGGTTTAAATATGCGTGGTATTGCCCTGCTTTTGTCGCTACGCTTTTTTAAACCAATGGCGAGCACACCCGCCACGCTCATTCAAGTCCGTAGGTTCCGCTCTCATGATTTGGTTTGAATTCCAAATACTGCCACACCCGGAGAATCGAGATGTGTGTTAAGGTTTGTAACCAATTCATTCAACTTTAACATTCCCCCAAGTAAGTCAGCACATTGTCTCCCGGCCTTGTCGCTATACCTATTAATTTGTGGGCTGCTGCACGTGCATGCGGAGTGTCCTGACCTGGCTGTGTGTCAGCCCCGCGCCCCGCTCACAGCGCGCCTGGCAGCCGGCAGGCGCTCCAGGGCTAAAAATGCTGGTCACATCTTTATGAAACGGCAATTTTATCGAGCTCAGAAAGTTATCGAAGTCATTTTTTTCCACGATAAGTTCAACGTTTATCGATGATCGCGGACAGGCCTACACTACATAACGCATTACTTTTTATAGTACACACAAAAAAATGTATCCTCATGTAGCTAGCTGCAATGAAGAGGAAGAAGTGAGGTCATTCAGTAAACCGTGATTTAAGATGTCTGAAGCCCTGAATTTGTATTTTAGGGCCACGGCCCTGCAGCGCGATGAACCTGCGCTACTCCTCAGAATGCTCCGTACTGTAGGCAAGGTGGGCTTCAGTGGAACTTCTTCCAGATGGAGGAACGGCATGGCGATGTAGATCGTTTGTCAACCACACACTGTAGGGCCCTCTACCCGCTCTACCCCCTCCTACTGCAACTACAGTTAGCTGCTGCCGTGGCCCTGCCTGAGGGGCCAGGGGGACCAGCCTACTCTCTGCCTCATCCACCCCTCCAGCCTCGTATGAAGCTGAGGAGGCCAGGACTTCACCCCGAGTCTGATCCAGGCAAGCTTTAAGCAGGGGCTTTGAGCAGGCCTAAACTATCTTAGCTCATATAATTCACTTCAAAGCAGAACTACAATTTGTGGTATAACAATGGCAAGGAAATGCCACTTTAAAAAAAATGCTTTGTTTTTCGTTACAGGGTGAGGGGAACTGCCTCCCCGTGTCTTTGGCGAGCCCGAAGCAGGAGACTCACCCAGCCTGTGGAAGAGGCCTGCAAAGTCCTCTGGGCCCGGGGCAAAGACTGGGCGACCCCGCAGAGGACAGGGAGAGCGCCTGAGCTGGGGCCCTGCCAGCCGCCGGCCCCCTCCCAACACGGCCTTGTGGCTCTGTCATTCAGTTGGGTGGTCCTGAAAGAACTAACATTATAGGCAGATATCACACCTTGCTTTTTGTGCAGCTGTTTCCTTTT